TTTCTCGTWRCACCGATTTTGTCTTTAACCCGGATGAAAACATAAAACGCTATGCCGTCGACCTGCCAGGGAGCGTGTACGCACCGTGGGAAAATGATTTTTCCAGGACGCCCATCCAACAGTGCTCCGTTTTACACAGGGACTGTACGCTTGCGTACAGACACGATTCTCGTACGGTATTATTGTGCTCGTACGATATATTGTTATTGTCGTGCGTGTCGGCACACGAATGCGCCACCAGAGGGTTGGACACTGTTGTACGRATATTATAATATTGTCGTTTRATAAACGATGCCGTACACTGCATGATAATAATACATAACAATATATTATATTGCTTATACGCGAGTCGTGAACGAAACAAATCCACACATGTCATGTATAGGTATATATTTTAGTAGTTATATTATAATATTTACGACGTTTACGCATAAAATCGTATAAGTATAAATCTGTCGCTCGACGTTGGTAACGTCTGTAAAAGTGTACACAATATATATATTTATATAACATTCCTACCCTTGGACCAATACTACTACTACTACTACTACTACTACTACTACTACCTACTACGATTACTACTACTACTACTACTACTACTACTACTATACTACTACTACTGTGCTGCTCGTGAGAGGTGGTGCGCGTGGTGCGCATAACGTAGTAAAACGCGAGAGTGTGCGTACTCGGAAAACTGACGTACACGGCGAATATGGGTCAATGAAAAGCCGGCCCGGGGAGGAGGGAAAGGAGGAGAGCACGACTCCATTCAAAACCTGCGAGGCCCATCAATTAAAACCGACGTGCGCCTTTGGACATATATAATATAAATGACGTATGGTCTAATATGCCTCCGTAGTATACCTATACTCATTTAGTACTCGCGTAAACCTACATTATGTATACCGGCTGGTCATAACATTTTAACGTACTGCGCATCGTTAAGTTTGTGCTTTATGCGATGGCTGCTAGCTGCCATATCGCACGCTGTTTGCGATATATACATGTAGAGTAATATAGTAAATACCCACAGAGTTGGCAGACTGGCAAGAAACTTTGCCGTTTTTCTTCCGGGAAACTTTTGTAATAATTGGATCGTAAAAGTTGGCCGGCATCACACACCACGTATTGGTTTACCTCCATTGGTTCAATCTATAATACGGAACTCCAGTGTGTGTGTGTGTGTCGTGTATTTGTCGAGCACACCTGAGGGATAGACTGGTAGAGGTATATAGTTAGGCGGTAGGTACTGATGAGATCAATATAACGTTTTGCTATAAAATGTGTTATTAACATTTTATTATTTTACGTAAATACTATAAAGCTTATATATGTATAATATATATATATATTTATTTATTTATTTACTATTCAGTATAATATGTGTCTAGGTTTCATACTTTCATTTATACATAAACAATGTCCATAATCCATAAAAGTATGATATGACTGTACTGTATTTTATTTCATTGTATATAGTTAAATTAGGCCATGATACTTAATTGTTAGCCGCAGATTCCAAAAATATAATTTCAATAGAAATAATTCATAAAAGGTAGTATCAAATTGTGGTTGAGAACAATTTTTTTGAAACTCCGAAGATGATATATAATAATAATTTAAATAATACATGGTATAATATTACTAACTTCAATCTGTAAGTGTCCGAAATTCAATTTAGACACCTATACCGGTAAGTAAATAGTAGACTACAGGTTTCGCTGATATTCTTACTATTGCCATTAACATAATGTATAAAGTCACATGCAATACCATTTCCATAAATATGATATACTTGTATGCATTATATTTAGGTACTATTAGGTTATTGATATAAATTGGATAATGGATATATTGGATATTAACATAATATAATATAATTTATTACATTKTATACGAAGCCACTTAAGCATAGATACGCTATATTTTCTATGTATTATGTATATATGATGTAAGTATAAATAATAGTGGGTAACCACTAACCACTACACTTACCCTTACGTTATATAATATAATAAGTGTCGATAATAATTTCATGGTAGTCAGTTAATCGTTATTTAACTTAAATAAAAAAGGTCTACTTTAGTCTTTAATCATTTTGTAATATAGTATTTATACTATTATGCTATAAAAAATGTATAATACTAGTATTTATTACAATTGATAATTAAATCGTCTAAATCACATAATTCCTTGCAGTTTTTAAGGTAATAAAAATTATAGTCATATGTAGGTAGGTCATTTGCAGGCCACCAGAGTGATTAAAAATCAGCATGCTGCAAGTTAAACTGCAATTATTATTATAGCTCTATCAACTATCATCTCTAGTAAAGTAGTAACTACCAATTATTTGGTTAAAATTAATAAGCATCGTTGTGATCCTCTTATTCTGGGACAGTGGAACCATTAGGACTTTAATATACATATACGTTATAAATGTATAATATATGCAAAAATTACATTCAACTAATTATTGCCCGACCCTGCTCCTTCAACCAACACACCTAAACCAAAATAATCTACGTAGATAATCATTCCTACTCGCTGGATATTATTGACTATTAATACCACATTTTAAATGTATTTAGGATTTTAGGACATAGGTAATGAATAATAAAAATAATAATATAACATATTATCAAACCGACGTTAAATAATTTAATTCAACAGTGGAGAAAGAAATGTGTTGATTTTAATATAATGATTTTTTTAATCATATTTTATTTTTTTATTTTCATTCAGAAAAGGTACTTAAAAGTTGCATCCAGCATAAATACGATCAGTATTATACTCTTATTAATTAGAAATCAAGTCTGAATATTAATTRATGATAACTAATAATCCCTTTTCAATTTTTTTTTCCAATATAATTATTACCGAAAACAACCGAAAAACGTCGAACAATTTATTTTGAAGTAATATCGTAGTATCTAATAGTATTTGATAAATTAATAAGTAACATTATATAGTAGTGTGATATAAACGGAATCTGGTACCTCGGATCGTTTTTAAAAAGATAAACTAAAATACGGTTACGATCTATTAYCTACAGTTTACACCTATATACCTATATAGTTAGCTGAATGAATTCCAAAAATAACAGATGAGTGATCATTGCTCAACTCCGGTATTTTTTATTTTGCTCGTCTTTTTATAGTTATATAATATATATACATGTATTATATGGGTAACGATTATCGAAGAGTTGAAATGCAATATGTACGTTTTGTTTTAGTTAGTAAATTCAAAGAATCGACACTCTTCTTTGTACCTAATCATTTTAACTAAACACAGTTGTAAACTAATAACCATGTAGTTGATGCTCCAAACCTGCTTCATTGAAAAAAAATTTAAAAAAAATTTATATTTAAATACAAAAATGCACGAATCTTTAGTAGTCATACGCATTTCTGCACTGCGCACCATCGAAATCACTAGGTAGTGTATATGTGAGTATGCTAGGCGTGCGCAGGGGAATGTAGGGTATGCAGTTGCATACCCTGAAACTCTTTAAGGGGCAAAAATCGACTCTAGAAAAAAAACCTTTTTTATGCAAGTAAAATAATTACTAATTAGTATGTAWAATTTGTAATGATAACAAATGATTAAAAATGAGAGAAATTATATCAGACTAACGGTAGTGACCACGTTTGATTTACGTATAAAATCATAATAAGGCGTTTGCTATAAGTACCAACTGGCAACTAACCACCGTCCGACGTATAAAATAATGAATTCYATGACGACAAAATTATAGGTGATAATGAGTTTTTCTGAAGCGGTTTCATTTTTGGCTCAAGTGAATAACAAGTAACAATATTGACGATAATAAATCTAATTCAAAATCGCATTGTCTTATTAACATAAAAAGTAAATAAATAATAATAACGTAAATATTTACAGATATATTATTATGTAAATAACTATGATATTTAAATCATTGTAAAAAACAAGTCTTTTTTTAAATACGGATTACCCTAATTATTATTTATAATATTATATGGAATTCAAATAATACTGAATTAGTTTAATTGGTTTTTAGTTATTATGTTTATTTGTTTTCATATTATCATAAAACTATTTAAGTTTGAAAATACTAAATTAGGTATGAAAGAAAAATATAAAATATGTTTACCATACGAATATTTAATARTGTGCCCTAAGTCAGTTAAGAAACGTAGTGCCCCAGCTCAGTCAGGGTTCGGATATACGCTGTCGAGTGCTATTAACAAATTGAAACACCCAGTTATATTAGTTATCAACTACTAGGTATTTGCGGAATACATACTTTTTGTATTTTGTCATGGTATTTGGTACAATATTTTTTTAATTAAACAGTGAGACATTTTAATATTTGTGTATTATATAGTTAGCCTTATAAATTATTAGCATTTTACATGCTTAAAATAACTTTCAGGGCATGCCAGTGGCAGCCTTTTTGCACACCTTGAAAAAGAGGTCTGCGCACACCTATGGAGTACCTACCTACTAATAGTATTACTATTATTTTTTACTGGTATACTATTTCAATAGTACCTACCACTACTCAGTGCCATACTAATTATACCACGATGTAGAGAATATATCTTCTCTACGTCGTTTTATTTATAATAAAACCAATCAACTCAGTGCCTACTATAATGGCTCAAAATTCTAAATAAGTGATCGGGGTGGTGGGGGATGGTCGGCACTACTAGTACTACTATTACTACTATTACTACTAGTTACTACTAAACGTGCATGGTGCCCATGTGATGTATACGACTACGTTTATCGAGTGATATAATAATCATATAGTGTGATATAATGGGTAGCTTGCGTTTGTGGTGGCTAAGGAAAATGCCGCGTTTCCGAAATTGGGTCAGTGCTACTGTGGTGCTACGTCACGATCGATATAGACGGCAAATGCTCGCACGCCCTCTCAATATCAACTGCGGTACTAGTGCGCCGCAGTCCGCCTTATCAACACAACAACAAATCACTATCAGTCTCGTCTCGCAGCCCGTGTTCGTTCAAAAACCTCTCGACTCTCGCCGCTCTCGATCAGTTACTTAGTTGAGTCCGCTTATATACTTAATTACCATTAATGTTACTAATGAGTTTTTCGTCCGGAGTATAATGTTTATTAGTCATAATTAGTTAATCTCGTTGTCTGCCGTTGGTACTTTACGTGTGTTTGAAAACCCATCAATTAATGCATACTCAAGGGAATGATACATGCAGCACTATAATTCGGAKTTAGAGCTCAATGTTCCGAATACTTGGAACTCGCTCATTAGTGTACCTATGATATAGACCTCTAGGTAAGTGTACCTGACAATTGATTCGAAGATATTTCTAGCGTTTGGTTTGTACAAATTTCATTGATCCTTGACTATCGAAATTTTACAGAACAGAAAAATGCATTCGTCGTGTGGCCACTTCAGTCTAATACAGGACGGCTGTGGTGCTATATCATCGGCCAAAAGCACCGTAGACGCTGTACCAGTATTCACCAAAAAGACACAAAATACTCGAAAACCAAATATTCCAGATGATGAAGCAAAAAACTTTGATATTGTTAAAGCTACTCAGTATGGACTATTGAACCGATGTAAAGAAATAATTGAAAGTGGTTATGACATAAACAAACCAGATCCCCAAAATATTTATCTCCTACATTGGGCCGCGATTAACAATAAGATTGATTTAATTAAATATTACATTTCAAAAGGCGCAGTTGTAGACCCTGTTGGAGGTGATCTACGAGCAACTCCATTACATTGGGCTACTAGGCAAGGTCATTTATCTGCAGTGGTATTATTAATGAGCAAAGGAGCAGATCCGTGTTTTTATGACGTTGAAGGACGTGCTTGTTTGCATATTGCTGCACACTTTGGTTTCACAGCAATTGTAGCTTATTTGATTGCCAAAGGCGTAGATGTAAATTTGCGCGATAAAAATGGAATGACTGCTCTCATGTGGAGTTCATATAAGTCCTTAGGACTTGATCCAACTAAACTTTTAATAACCCTTGGTGCTTCTATGTCCATACAAGATGATGTGCATAGGAACACTCCACTTCATTGGGCTCTGATTAGTCGGAATCCTACAGCCATCAGTATTCTAGTCATGAGAGGATCATCATTGACAATTAGAAATTCAATAGGATGTACCGCTTTAAATTTAATTCATGAGTCTAGATCAGAAGTGTGGATAGGATTGAATACACTAAAAATTGTGGATGATAAAATGAAGCCAAAGAATATTTTATCAAAATTAAATGAACAAACTATATCCATTATAATTGTTTCTCTAGCATTTTATGTAATTGGATTTATATTGGACTCTCACATGATATATGTAGCAAAATTATGTTGTTTGATTATTGGCTATCTCATTATGTATAAACTAAACCGTACATATGCATCAGTATCCAAAACACTGCCTGTGTCAGTTTATTTTGCAACAAAATTTTGGATGTATGTCACTTGGATATTTTGGATACTACCAGTCATAAGTTTCTGGTGTTCAGTTGGTTTTTTTGTTACTACATCATTGTTGTGGTATAACTTTATGTACAGTTGGAATGGCAATCCAGGATATGTGCCGAATACTAAAAATGATCAATATACTGCTATCATTGAATTGGCTGAAAGCTCTGGATTTAGTTCGGATGTGTTTTGTAGTACATGTTTGATTAAAAAGCCAATCAGATCAAAACATTGTAATATTTGTAATAGGTAAGAATAATAAATTCATTTTATGAACAGATTGTTTATGTTTATTTGGTTTACAGATGTGTAGCAAAGTTTGATCATCATTGTCCTTGGGTGAACAATTGCATTGGTATTTTGAATCATCGTCACTTTATTGGTTATCTTATATCCCTACTTGCAGCATGCGGTTTTATTATTTATGGATGCATAAAATATTTGAATATGGCAAATCAATTTAATGAACAAACTTTTCATTATAATATATTTTATGTTATTTGGGAAATTCTCATACTAGACTCTTGGGTCAGTTGGATTATGATAAATGCTATTTTACATTCAATTTGGGTATCAATGCTGTTAGGATGTCAGACCTACCAAATTGTATGGCTCGGTATGACAACTAATGAACGTATTAATGCTGCACGTTATGAGCACTTTATTCCACATGGAAAGGGATATAAGAGCCCTTATAATCGTGGTAAATGTCAAAACCTCTTGGATTTTATCCAGTGCCATTGTATTCGTTTCAGATTTTTAAATGAGAAAGTATGGTTCAATTATTGTGACTTTCAAGTTTTTAATGAATTAGAATTGAATTTTCCTGCTGTAAAACCTGATTTGGAATATGTTTGAATATTTTGATTATATTTTCAATTAGCAATAAATTGTAAACTACTAATTTATTAATATTAACGTTAACATGGATAATAATTCAATATTATTAAATTGTATTGTGTTTTTTTTTTTTGTATGTGATTTGGCTAAATTCCAATAATTATTGAACTGTATAATATGTAAAATTTTGTAAGATTCATAGTATTTTAAATTTGATTATGTATGAGAACTGATTAAATTTAAAAAATAACACTTAGTTTATTTTTTATTTCACTAATTGTTAAATTTAAAAATTAATCAATTTATTATTGATTTAATGTCTTGAAATTCTATTTAGAAAATTATTTTTTTATTTTTATGTTTATTTGTGTGAGAATTTACTAATTTTTTACCAGCGGCTAGTATATGAATCAATAATTGTATGTTTGTATCATTCTTATGTACAAGGTATGATTATATAAATATAAATTACTAATTTCTGATAATGCCATGATTCAGAGGTAATAATTTATATCTGGAAATTCGTATAATTGTAAATGTTTATTTAGTTATTAAAAAAAAAGGTTAGATAGGTAACATATAATATATCCTTAGRGCTTAGATATACATAGATACCTATATACCTGACAGACCTTATGAATTACTGACTATATATAATATATGTAATGTAACTATATAATGACTAGGGATAGGATTTATATGCATTTGCATGTTTTTTTCCTTTAGTCCAAATTGATTGGTTGTCAGATTTGTCCACGATTTGACTTATTCTCGTTTAAATCGGACCAATTTTTTTTTTGCATATTTTGGACATAATGCATATAATTGCATATTCATAATTTTTTTTAGAATTCGATATTTTTTAACTAACATTTTTTAATTTTTATAAGTTATTGTTAATTTTAAATGGTACTTCACGAAACCGACAGTTTTTGGTTTATCCGTTGAATTTTTGTAAATATATAGCATAAATACTACCTATTTTATCTTAGGTGAGATAATATCTGTTTGTGACCTTATCGTTGGTTGGACGACCAATAGAATTACTTACACATTGTTATAGGTAAAGTGAGATAGCAAAGAAAAATTGTATTAGTACGTCGTGTGTTGCGTAAATGTGCGGACGTTTATACTTAATGATTTGAATGGTTTTAATAACAGTGTCCAGTATGC